AGCTTCCAAGGTTCACAGCTGTGGTAAAGACAGTTGACTTTTCTCTCCCAGCAGCCTGCATAGCACTTTCAGGTATTACGAGAATGAGCCAGCTGTTCATAATTTTAAAAAGAGCTTCGTTCCTTTTCTGTTTAGCTGTAAAAGCTAAAACACAGAAGGTAAAAACAAATGTTTCAAAGATTAGTGAGAGAGAGTGAGACATGTATTAGATGCAGGGTTCTAAATCCTCTTTAGTGATATATGCGAAAGCCTCAAAATTGGGGGTTTATCTTGATGCCTTAAAATGTTTTGGATCCCACATTGCATGAACTGGTAAATAGCAATTACGCTATCTGAGTAACATCTCTGGTAATTGATATTCTGCCTGTGAAATGGTAGAATAGAAAGGCACACGGGTGCTGATTGCTTTCAACTTTTCAGGGAGGCCAGAGACCATGGCTGGCTCTACAGTCCAGGCTCAAAGAGTTCCTGGTGGAGTCATGACAAATTCAGCAGGGGAAAAAAAAAATGTTTGAAAGTAATGACTTTCATGTGCCACATTTATTTCCCTTTTTTTTTTTTTCCCCCTAATTTGGTTTTCTGAAAACCCTTTATTGGCTTCTGTAAAGTTTTTTTTTTTTTTTTCACTTTTGACACATAGATAGTAAAGGATAATAAGGGGCTAGAGAGATGGCTCAGCAATTAAAAACACTTGCTGTTCTTGCAGAAGACCTGGGTCCGAATCTCAGCACCCACATGGTTGCTAACAACTGCCTGTAACTCCAGTTCCAGGGGATCTGATGCCCTCTTCCGACCTCCTTGGGAACTACATGACATGGGTGCACTTATATAAATGTGGGCAATACATGCATACACATAAAATAATAATAATTTTTTTTTTTTAAAGAAAAGGATAACAAAGCTAGGCATGGTAGGGCACACTTGAGATCTCAGAGCTCTTTTCAGGAGGTTCAACAGAGGCATCAGGAGTTCAAGGTTGTCCTTGGCTGCATAGTGAGTTTGAGGCCAACCTGGGATAAGTGAAATTGCCTCAAAAAACAGAAAAGAGAAGGACAATATTATATAAAATGGATCACAGTGACCATGAACATTCAAATAGTCATTAAATATTTTTGTTGTAAGTGCAAAGGAGCTTAAATTTTAATGAAAAAGCTGAGACCTTGTTTTTGTGATCTTCAACCTTTCTTGGTATGACACTGGTTTTATGCCTGGAGTCTAGTCTCACTTTATTTACTGAATACTTATGTCTTCTCCATTAAGAATGCCAGGCACTGTCCCCAGAACTTTACAAAATTAACATATTGAATACCTATAACAACCAATACAAAATAGGTGGCACTCAATTTGAGAAGAAATTGAGACAGCAAATCACATAATTCCAGGCGTAACAGGTGATATGAGGCGTCATTAGCTGTCAGTGGATCTGTGTCTGGGGATGCCTTTCCTTCAGGAAGGCTCTTTTTTTTTTACCCCAAGAGTGATCTTAATAGGTACTGAAAGCTCCACATATACGATCAGTAAGATTTTTTCCACATGAACATTCTCTGGCACACAAAAACATAACTGAATGTTGGGTTTGTAGCTCAGTTGGTAGAATGCTTGCCTAGCACACATGAAGGCTTGGGCTCAATCCCTAGCACTGCATAAAACCAGGGGTGGTAGTCTGGGCCTGTAATCCCAGCACTTGGCAGGAGGATCAGCAGTTCAAAGTTGTCCTCAGCTACATGGCTAGTTCAAGGCCAGCCTGCAATACATGAGATCCTGTCTCAAACACCGAAGAAAAGAATATAGTTGCATTAATATTCGACCATTATTATCCCAAAGCTTCATTCTTTGTCCTTTGTTGATGTGCATCAACTGACTGAAGCGAACATCTCCTAGGAGAAAGTGCACGGCAGTGTAATTTTCACTGTATACAGTCAGACCTGTGCATGGAACAGACAGCCCTTTAAAGTAGTCATCAGGAGACTGGAAAGCAATTCAATCCAGATGGCATCTCTCAGGTATCCGTTAGAAGTGATGCACAGTACTATGTGTGGTGAGGATGGCAAAATCTGTATCGATTTTTTCTATCACATGCCAACAGCTTGAAGAAGGGGATAGCTGATGGCTCCGTGCTGTGAAGGGCTCTGCTGTGCTCTTCCCTCCAGTAGCCCGGCTTGAAGCTGAACTTCTTCTGGGAGCCAGACCACGCCATGAATGATGGTGTTTCAGGCTCAGTGGAGCTGGAATATGTTGCTCAGTGGGAGGCAGGCTTCTTGTCTTCTTTTACTCCCATTTGGCAAGGACATCTCATTATGTAAGACTACCACTGTTTATCTGCACCATATTTATGGCTTTTACAAGGGTTGTTCTAAGGTTTGGCAGATATGAGGGAGTATTTCACAAAGCAAGGTTTATAACAGACAAAGCCTTAAATGAAATTTCTGTAGTACATCTAAAGTATCTTTAAATTGTTGTTCATTGATGACATTCATCAGATTCAGATGAGAAGTAATCTTCAGGCCAGTGCTGTTACACATCATAATTTGTAAGTTTTAAAAATTTATTATTTTACTGTTTTAAAATTTTATGTGTATGAGTGTTTGCCTGCATGCATGCATGTTTATCACATGCATACCTCTTGCCCATGGAGGTCAGAAGAGGGTATTGCATCCCTCGGAAATGGAGTTACAGATGATTGTGAGCGCTTGGAACTGAACCCAGGTCCTCTGCAAGAACAAGTGTTCTTAACCACTAAGCCATTTTTCCAGTCCCCACAATTCATAAGTTTAAAAGAAATAAAACAAATCTTGTTGCACCTAGAAACTCAACCAACATAGAGAATATTTAAGTTCATCTCATCTTGGCACATAATTCCAAAACCTCATGGCTGAAGCAGAGCCTCGTCCTTGAAAAATCCTTTTTCTCCATTGGCCAACTTGAACTTCACAGTATTATTTTAAATGGTTTGTGGTCAACACCACAATGCTTCTGAATGGGATATTTCATGAAGGTATATTTGGGAAGATGTAACAAAGTGCCAAGCATCTACCAACAATTAGTAATTTATTCAAATATTATTTTATTGTTAGCTTGTAGGACATTTATATCTAACAATTGTTACATAAATCTGGAAACTAATAAAACGGTTTCAACACAATGAGCCATCACTTCACATGCAATTGTTCTAAGGTTGATTTAATGTTCTTAGTTATATAAAAACTTACTGTTACTGGGAATCGAACTCAGTGCCTTGAGCATGCTGGGCAAGCACCATACCACTCATCTATAACTGCAGCCCAGGAACCATTTATGAGCAGACAACCCTTATGCTCTAGTTCCAGCTCAGTCTTGTGTATTTTTCACTTTAACATGCAGCATATTTAAGTTGTCTCTACCAGATAAACATGCTAGTCATTTAGTGTTGTTTCTAGTCCCCTGTCTAGAAAAGTCAAAATTTCCGTTTATAAGAATGGTAGCATATTATATTAAGTTTTAGAGTCAGTTTGTGTTCTCCCTATCAGTTTGCCATACAAGAAAGATTAGACTTTCAAAGCCCTTTAATTTGTAATAAAATATTCAAAATATTTTATATACGTGTGTGTTTATGAAAACTATTCAGTAAATCTCTTTCATAAATGAAATTACAATTTCAGCATTTCCAAAAACCCCTGTAATTTGGGAAATAATGTGGTTAATCCTCTTTCAGACTTACCCTCTGAAGTAACTGTTTTGCAAGAGCATTTTACAAAGCAGGATACATTTCTATTACAAAGTTTTATTAATTTCAATCATTTAAAATAAAGCAATGAATAATAAATGACATGAGTTTCTAATAACATCACTTAGTAGGACAAATTGTTCTTCTGCATGACTGAAACTAGATGAATAAAACAGAAAAAAATACTTTGGTAAGAATTTGCAATTGACTTTTTTTTTTTTTTTTTAAAGACAGCATCTTGTCATGTAGCCCAGGCTGTCCTTGAACCCAATTTTCCAGCCTCAGCCTGCAAAATACTGGAATTACAGACATGAGCCAACACATCTAACCACTATGCAATTGGTTTTTTATTTTCAATTTTGTTTTTTGGACAGGGTTTCACACTGTAGCCTAAGTTAGCCCGAGACTGTCTATAATTCTGTCTCTTGTCTTAGATTCCAGAGTTCTGGGTTTACAGGTATGGCCCCACATCTGGCTGCAATTGACTTTTCAAGGCACGATTATCAATAGTTTGGAAAGCTATTAGAATATTTAAAGTGTTATAAGGAAAATGTTGGCTCAGGAAGGCTTTGGTCTTTTAATATTTGTACTTGCATAGCTTTCTCTGCACATAAAATTATAAACACGTTTCTCTTTTTATAGTGTTTCATTAAACAGTTTCCAGCTTTGGCAGGATTATAAACCTTACTTTCACTATGATTTCCTTCTTTTCTCCTTGCTCCTATTTCTTCTTAATCCTCTTGTAAATAAATAAGTGTAACATGTAGGTAATGTCTAAGACGAAGACAGTGCTCAAGAACTAATGGACTAGATGTAACAAGCTGTAGTGTAAAGTTATACACATGGTTCTGGGCATGGTGGCAATCCATTAATGTTAGGACTTGTAAAGAGTGGGCAAGATCACAAGTTGAGGGCAGCCTGGGCTCCATAGCAAGACCTTGTCTGGAAGACAGAAACAAAACCAAAAACCAAACAATCAAACAAGTAAACAAACCCTTCCCCACCAACAATCTCTCCCCAAGCTTATATAGATACATAAATGTTGATAAAACTTGTTGAGGATACTGGGTAAGCTGATAATTTATAGATTCACTACTAGTTAAGATAGAATAATCAGGGCTGGAGAGATGGCTCAACAGTTAAGAACACTGGCTGCTCTTGCAGAGGACCTGGGTTCGATTCCCAGTACTCACATGGCAGTTAACAATGGACTGTAACTACAGTTCCAGGGAATCTATCGCCCTCTTCTGTCCTCTGCTGGTATTGCACATCACGGGTGCACTTACATGCAGGCAATATACTCATACACATAAAATAAAAATATTTTTAAAAGACATAGTAGTCAATATTACATTTCAAGGTTAGGAAATAGAAAGTGTATAATGTGAGAATCCAAAATCTATGTGTGTGTCTATTCATATGTGAGCTAGCAACATATTATCATGGAAAAGAAAGTATGATTTAAAAATACAAATGTAACTACAATACTCAGAAAAGGACTCATCCCAAGAGACAAACTCTTCATTATCCTTAGGGTGGTTAGGTTTTAGTACACCATTATTAAGGACTTTTGTTTGTTCTCTGTCCACTTTGGCCTAAGTAGTGAACTTTAGAAAAGTTGAATGAGATCTAAAGGAACAACACACATAGATGTTTAAGTATGGAAAAGTTTTTTTGGTTAAGAATATTTACAGGTATTGCAATCATTTATTTTGGAGAAAAAGGTAATAGGATGAGCATCAGAAATTAAGCTATATAAGAAAGCATCTGATAGTTGTTAGAAAATAACCATCAGTTTTCCTTATGCAATTGGAAGAACGTGCAGAGTGTGGATGGGCATAGATGCCTGAGCGAGTCATGAGAACAGTCCTTTAGGAAGGGCTGGGCACAATAATTAAGGTTGAGAAACAGTCCTGGGAGAAAAGGCTAAAATAACAACGCCAGAGGAGAAAGCTGCGTTTTGTTTCACACGGCTACAGAGACCAGAGGACAGCTCAGTGTTCTACTTTCTCCTTCTCGCTGCTAATCACAACATCACAATGAAACCAGTGATCGTGGGACAATTCCATACCGAGTCCAGAAATATCCCACGTAGATAGAATGACCTAAGGATTTCAAGTCCATATTCATATCTTCCTAATGACACGAACTTGGAACTTGGGCGTGGGAAACAGTTCCATTGCTGCTTTCCTGAGAGATTCACCTCAGTCCCAGAATTGAGGACGTTACAGCTTCATTCATGGCTTCTTTGTTCATCCTAGACCTGGGAAGGGGGAGGCATGCTCAGTGTGGACTGGCCATGGATGATCGGGTCGATCTTAACATCACTGAATGCATAGGTGGAACTCTGTGAGTTCAAGGCCAGCCTGGTCTGCAAAGTGAGTTCCAGGCCAGCTGGGGCTACAGGGAGACCCTGTCTCACAAAACAAAAAACAAAGAAAGAAGAAGAGGGCTTATTTAAAATTTACTTAATACAAGTTAACAAAATTAACAAACAGCAGCAACAACAAAAGAAATATGCTGGGAATGTTGACACAGGCCTGGAACTCCAGTACTCAGGAGACAGAGGCTGGAGGATCTTGAGTTCAAAACTAGTCTAGTCCTCATATCGAGACTCTTTCTTGAAGAAGAAACAAATGAAACAAGTCAAAACAAAACGTGGTGCATGTAGTCCTTTTCTACACAGGAAAAGGCAGACTAATGCAAGTGTGTAGAAGAAAGTGTTGAACCCAGGTAAATACTCTCTCTCTCTTTTTTGGGGGGCGGGCTTTTTTGAGATAGGGTCTCCCTGTAGCCCCAGCAGACCTGGAACTCACTATGTAGACCAGGCTGGCCTTGAACACACACAGAGAGAGGGATCTGCCTGCTAATATCTACCAAGTACAGGGGTTAAAGGTGCGTGCCACCTCACCTATTTCTTTTTTCTTTCTTTCTTTCTTTTCCTTCCCCTGTCCCTCCCTCCCTCCCTCCCTCCCTCCCTCCCTCCTTCTGACTACCTGCTCATCCCCAAACCCTTGTAATACAGCAGCTTAATCTCTGTAGTAAGATCACATGGGTTTGGATTCCTCTTATTAACACGTAACTTGGTCCCTCTGAGGCCTTGAACTTTCAGAGATTTACCTGCCTCTGGGCCACCATGCCTGGCTAGTACTCTCTTTTTGTTTTTTGGTCTTTTTGAGACAGGGTCTCCCTGTAGCCCCAGCTGTCCTGGAACTCACTGTGTAGACCAGTCTGGCCTTGATCTCACAGAGAACCACCTGCCTCTGCCTCCTGAGTATTGGGATTAAAGGCGGGTGCTACCACGCCCGGCATATTTTTTTTATTATTTTATTTAAATTTTATTATTTTTATTTTATGTGTATGAGTGTATCGCACAATGTGTTGTACAATGCCCACGGAGGTCAGAAGAGGGCGTTGGATCCCCTGGAACTGTAGTTATGGACAGTTGTTAGCTGCCATGTGGGTGGTGGGAACTGAACCTGGATCTTCTGCAAGAGCAGTCAATGCTCTTAACCACCAAGCCATCTCTCACGCCCCATACTCTCTAAGAACTTTAAAAAAAAAAAAAAGGGAGCCGGGCGTGGTGGCACACGCCTGTAGTCCCAGCACTTGGGAGGCAGAGGCAGGCGGATCTCTGTGAGTTCAAGGCCAGCCTGGTCTACACAGTGAGTTCCAGGACAGTTGGGGCTACAGGGAGACCCTGCTTCAAAAAAAAAAAAAAAGCAAAAGAAAAAAAAATAGGAATGAGTTTATAAGGAACATTGTAAATCTATCTTCCAAGAAACATCAATGAGTGAAATTACAGAAAAGTCTACTTAAAATAGTTTAAGTAGGTTTTGATATATTAGAGTCCTTACTGATTGCGGAACTTGGTGAGTAAAGCCAAATACCCTAAGCAGATCTGGCACTAAGATGCCAGCTAGTCCTCTTGCCCCACCTTACAGGGATAGAAGGACCCCACTTCAACACCTGGTTTTAGGCTCTGATGTCTGGAACCAGAAACCTGAACTTTTAAAATAAGCTGAAATTAAAATAAAGACACCATATGGTTCAAACTATGATAGTGATGGGGACAGAGTTGGGTTTGTGAGGGTACCCCTTTGTGATTTGTGGATTAGACTGATTTCTGCTTAAAAGGACTGGGGAATCCCTCAAAAGTCCTTCCAGCCAGAGACATGTCCATGTCCATAACACCTCTGATGTTTTCTCAAGTTATTTTCACTTACACATCCAACTTTTCTGAGGAAGTAAAGGAAGAGGAGGTTGTACCAATATTCCTGGAGCTGGGCTGCTTTCCCCTCATGTGTGCAAGGTGCTCTGAAATCTTGTGTGGAAAGGGAGCAGCTGGGGTTTTGACTTCAGGAAGTAATTTGTTCTTACCTTAGAGAAATGCCTGGATAAAGTCTTGCCTAGGGTCAGGTCAGGAGGTTAGGTCAAAGGTTCCCAGGGTCTAACGCCCAGCTTTGCACTGTTCTGAGCCATTTCTGCTGATGTGTTTCAGTCTTTCTCATGTGACTATTACCCTCTGCCTTTGATCAAAGCGGCTCTTCTGCCTTCAGAACAGAAGTACTCTTTCTTCCTCCTGAAGTCTTAAAAAATGAATACAAAGAAAGGTTACAATTCCTCTTAAATGAACAACAAACCTCCAGTGCTTTGTCTGTAGATTTTTAGAATCATTGGATGAGCTAACATTGTGAAATGATGCAAGACTCCACCACAAAAGGTTTAATTCATACCTAAAATATTGCCATCATCTTGGGTAATGATATATAATTAAGTTGCTGACTGGATTCTCATGTTTTTCTATCAGTGATTCACGGCTCTTGTCAAAAAGCAGTAGCATCCTTGGAGCTCGTTTTGTTAAAGCCCTCCTTTGAAATACCCAACAAACAGGGTTTTCTTGATCCATGGGATCATCAAGAAAATCCATGTGTTTTTGTGAAAGACTCAGTATATGCCAGGTTCCCATTACATTCACTGCAACATGTCCAGAAACGTTTGTGATGGTGCCATAAAATGTCATAAAAAGAGAAAGGGAAGGCTGATGGACTATAAACACATCTAGCTTTGTGTATTCCAGAAAGCAGCTTTGAAGAAGAAAATAGGTCACTGAACCTAAGGTTTTATCTTTTCCAAAGATGTTACCGGCATCCTAAGAGTGCGTCTCATTTTTCGTAAGAGGATGGATACACAGAGTGACTTGCTCCAGCGAAGTTGCTCTTTCACAACACTTGTGGGTGAAGATTCCAATAGAATGGGTCAGGTTCTCTGACTGCTAGAATAACAGATGTTTATTCCTGGGCTAGCAAGCCTGCCCAGCAGACTAGAGAAGTCAAGAACAAAAGCTACAAACAGGGGAATTTGTTCTGCAAAGAATGGGTCTATTAGCAAAGAACCCCAGTGATCCTCAAAAAGAAACCCAGATAGATCTAAGTAACATAAACACTGTGTTCATCTTATTTGCTTGTTTGTATGAGACAGGCTCTTGCTATATAGCCCTAGTTGGCTTGGAAACTCCTTCTCAAGCCTTTTAGTGCCGGGATTACAAGCATATTCCTCTATGCCCAGCTATAATGTAAACACTGTAAAGGAGGAATTTGTCTTCACAATTTAATGTAGTGGCATACAGAAGCAGAATTTAAAAATAAATACAGAAAATTTTATTCTTTTCTGAAGGCATTTTTCATCTTCAAAAAGTTGAATATGTACTTCATAGAGTGAGGCTGCTTTTCAAAATTATAGTTGGGACCAGACTGAGGTGTTTGTTTTCACGGATTTGAGAGTAGAAGGAAAAGGATAAGGAGTCAGGATTAAAGTGGTTTTTCACTTGTGGAAAAAACAAACATCATAAAAGGGGAATCTGTATGCTATAGACCCTGGATAATTTCTTTTAGCTTTGACTTGATTTTTATAATAAATATTTGAAACCCAAATTACAAGTTGAATTAAGAGCTCTTAATCTAAAACTCTTTTAGTTCAAGCAAAAAATCATTTCAGGGATTCATGTGCTGTTGAAATTACTAGTCATATACTTTATAATGGCTAATCACAGAGGTAATAATAGCTATTTTTTTTTTTTTTCCCCCTCTGCTAAGATCAGCTGGGAAACTGAAGTTCTCACATACCTGCAGTACTCTTGCTAATTATCTGGTCCTTGGAACAAAAACTTACTAGACTTGGGCAGGTTGGAGCAGCTCCTGCCCTGGAGTTCTCAAAGTAAAAGTTTTGTAGACCATGTAACCTAGTTTTCCTGAAATATGCTGACTTATTCTAATCAGCTGCCAATTCTGAAAGTCAACGCTATTATTGCTCTGTTTGGATTACTGCTTTTAATTCAAATGCAGGTAACAACATTTTCAGGGCTGGGAAACAATACAAATTAGCCTTCCCTGTAATCCTTTCTTTTATTATCCTCTAGATACAAATATCAACACATCTATTACTGTCACTGGGTTAATCCTCATATTTCAAGAACGCTCAAGTATTACTTGCATTTTATAGATGAATAAAACAAGATATGACTAAGTCAAATGGTTCATGTGAACACAACTCTTAGGGTTTGGGTATTAATGTCTTTGGAAGGCTCATGTGTGTGAATACTTGTTTGTGGTGCTGTTCTGGGCGACGGGAACCTTGCCTTAAGTTAGTAGAAGTAGGTCTGTTGGGGTGGGCCTTGAAGGCAATGTCCACTTCTGGTTCCAGCCTGAGCCCCCCCTGCTTCCTGATCCACTAAAATGTGATAACCAACAGCCACAAACTCCTGCCACTGTGGACTGAACTGCCCCAGATGCTGTGCTTTCCAGGTGTGACTGTCCTCTTTGAAACCTCTCTCCCTTTAAGTGGCTTCTGTTGGGGATTTTGTCCCAGTTACAGGAGAAATAACTAGTACAACTGATTCATCACAGAAGATTTCTAATTGACTTTTTTTTTTTTCTCTATTTGTTCCTTAGTGTTTTTCAACATAGGTTATTTATTTATTTATTTATTTATTTATTTTGATACATAAATCAACCCACTTACTGTAGCCAAGGGATGTCTCAAGTGGTAATGACTCTGCTGGCTTTTCTACTCCTCCATTCTGATGGAGTTGACTGTGACAGCAGACGTGGTAATGCAGGTCCAGGCAACACCAGCCACTGTTTTCCTGCAGGAACCACAGTGCCAGATGCCCACGGTCTGCCTCTTCATTTTGGTCTTGTCGTAGAAGAAGCAAATATCCTAAAAATAAGAAGCTCTTCATGAGTCTGTGTGTCACGGGGGCCGTGCTAATCTCTGTTTTGTTCCAACCTTAGTATATATGCTGCTGAAGCGAGGCTTTACAGATTTATCTATTATTTTTAAGTGTGTGTGTGTGTGTGTGTGTGTGTGTGTGTGTGTATGTGTGAATGCAGCTACCCACAGAAGCCCAAGGTATTACATACACTGGCATTGGAGTTATAGGTGGTTGTGAGCTACCTGATGGGCCTGGGAATTGAACTTGGGTCCTCTGCTAGAACAGCAACCATGCTAAACCACTGCATCCTCTCTCCAGCCTCACTTTAGCTGAATGTAGTTCACATTCCATCCAATAGTTCATGTGTTCCTGTGACAGACAGCTGAATCTCTTCATTCTTGATAACTCTTTAGAAGTTTCTCTTTTGTCTCATGGAAGTGAAACCTGCTCAGTACAGTGAGTCTCAGATATCAAGGTGCATAAAATTAACCCAAGGAGATTACAAGATGCCAACTATGGCATTTTTGCATTAATTTGGTAGGTATGTTTCAGGATCCAGGAACTGGCGGTTTTCATCTACATCCCAGGTGATTCTGACACAGATAACTCACAAACAGTGTTTTGATTAGCCCTGACCTAATGAAAGTCCTGACTGAAGAAGAAATACTGGGCATATTTCCTCACTGTTTGATTTCCTGGAACTTATTATTTATTTATTTATTCATTATTTATTTATTATTTTTGGTCTTTTTGGACAGTGTAGCCCTGTTGTTCCAGCTGGCCTGGAACTCACTATGTAGACCAGGCTAGCCTTGAACTCACAAAGACATGCCTTCCTCTGCCACCGGAGTGCTGGGATAACAAGGGTACACCACCACACCCAGCCCAATTTCCTGGAACATATTACAACATTTTAAACTTTCACTTTTTTGATGTGTGAAAGAGGTGAAATTCCTGTCTCTAAGAGGCTTCCTGAGTATATGGTTTTTACAATGCTTAGAGCTTCCAAGTTTAAATAGGTTATTTAAAGCTTCCTAGTGCTGAGAGATCACAAAAGGTGTTGTGCCCATGGAAACCCTAGTTTGACTATCATTCATAGAAGTGGTTCTGGAGTGTATTCTTACCAAAACCAACATGATATTAGAAATAACTCTGAAATACTATCCAGAAGATCTGACTAGGTTTTTGTCTTTTTTTTTTTTTTTTTTTTTTGAGACAGGGTCTTCCTGTAGCCTCAGCTGGCCTGGAACTCATTATATAGAGCCTCTGCCTCCTGAGTGCTGGGATTAAAGGCATGTGCCACCATGCCTGGCCTGACTACTTTTTAATTGTGACTATAGTAATAACTTGTTTACACTTGCATTTAGAATTGGAAACAATATAAATCTACTGTGACTACTCCAAAGGATCCTTGTATATACAAATAAAGTACACAAGTTCTAAACTAGGTATTAATGCACAGGTGTAACATACAGAGATTGAACCTAGGCAGAAGCACTTTGTTTAGAGTCTGAATTTTCTGAAGGTCCTACTGAATGGAAAGATGTCTTCTTGTCAGTACTTAGAAGCTTCTGGTGGGAAAAACTTCTCACAGATAGTCATCAGCAGGTAATCGTGCATGTGAGAGGTTGAGAAATGTTTTCAGCTGGTTATTTCTTAGCAAGGAACTCAAGGAATGTTCTTACACTTAGCATGAGTTTGTTATTGGGAAGCTGGGCTGTGGTATGTGATCATGCTCTGCAGCTGAGTAAAACACGAGGGGGTAGAAATCTAAGACCCAATTCTTTCCTTTCTCTTTCCTGAGCCCAAGTCACAATGTTACTCTGGATTCAGACCTCTTCTTCCTCCCCTCCTCCTTCTCTTCTTCCTCCTTCTCCTTCTCCTCCCCCATCTTCTCCCCTGCCATCTCTCTGCTAACTTGTCTGATAGTAATGCATGTTACCGAGGAGAATACTCCCAAGAATAACATGTAGTTCATATATCACTACGAACCGCCAGACCATAATCTTGGCAAACAGAATCTGCTGGAAGAAAGTATCAGTGTTCATGACCGTTGACTGAGCACACGTGGAAATAGTATCTTTAGATAATTTCCAGTTATTTAAATAAACCTTGAAAGCAGAGAAAACTGATTACCGTAACCAGAACTACACGCTTTGCTGAGTAGAATGTTTCAGTCTTGATGAGAAGGAAGATGAAAACACCAGGGTAAATGCCATTTTGCTTCTGTATTCAATAATAAAAATTGTGATTTTTTCATTATGATAACATTCAATCATCTAAAACCTGTGCATTTTTACTTTATTTGGAAATTTTGATTGGGTATGTTGATTGGCTTTAATTTGTTGGTACAGATGATACTGAAGTGAATACATTCCAAATTTTAATTAAATTCAGGTGAGGCTGAAGTAGCAGACTTGCACACAGAATTCCTTGGATTTTTCTCATAGGAGTTAAAAATGATAATTGGATAAACAGCACAAGGACCTCTCAAATAAGACAGATGAGCTGGGTGTGGTGGTGCATGCTTTTAATCCCAGCCCTTGGGAGGCAGAGGCAGGTGGATCTTTGTGAGTTTGAGGCCAGCCTGATCTACATAGGGAGTTCTAGGCCAGCTGGGGCTACAGGGCTCAAAAAAAGACAAAAAAAAAAAAAATACCATTTTGATTAGTCTGAATGTTTACAGTCTTCAGAATAAAATTTGACTACTTGAAGGAGAAAAAGGAATACACACATGTTAGAATTTCTATAAAACAATCTAAACCTGTGACCATGTCTGTGGGGCATCTTCTTGATGATGTGGGACAGCCCAGCCCACTGTGGGTGGTGCCACCCCTGGGCAGGTGGGCCTGTGTTGCATAAGAAAGCAGGCTGAGCAGGGGCCAGAGAGCAAGCCAGTAAGCAGGGCTCCTCCATGGCCTGTATTCCAGCTCCTGCTTCCAGGTTCCTGCCCTGAATTTCTACCTTGGGCTCCCTGATGAACTGTGACCCAGGAGATGTAAGATAAAATAAACCCTTTCCTCCCTAAGTTGGTATTGGTTAGAGTATTTTGTCACAGCAATAGAGAAACAAACTAGGACAGACTTGGATGCACTTTTATTTGGGTGATAACCACCAGGGTAGCTGGGAGGCTATACTGGGAAGGCTTCAGAAATACTGTCTAATCACACATGGAAATCTTGGTAAGTTACAGACAAGGAGACCTGTTTTGTTTGTTTTAACTGGAGAAGAGTTTTCCTGTGAAACTATTGCCTTATTCTTGCCAAATCATCTTGCCTGAACATAACCTGAAATTGAGAGGTGCTGTGAACATTTGGGCCTGTTTCAGAAAAGGAATACTCCAAAGTAATTAGGGATTGGCTGAAAATTCAATTTTTCTGAACTTACTTTTCACAAAAAAAAACAAATACATGTAATGACAAGACAACCTCAGGTGGCGAATCTATTTGAAATGGTAGGTTTTAGGATATATGCTGTGTGTGGGGGAAATCAGTGATCCAACATACCTACTTCACATAAGAGGTCTGAATTCAAACTACTGCAAAAGATTATTGATATTTGGTAAAATGACATAATTTAAAATCAAGAATCATTATGAAAAATCTGCTTTTAATGAGTGTGTCAGATATTTGAAGGCAAGAGTCTTGCCTTAAGTTATTTCCCCATCTTTCTTTTGATGTAGTTTAGGCTGGCCTTGAATTTGCCACTCAGTGGAAGCTCCCCTTGAGCCCCCGATCCTCCTGTTTCCACCTCCCAGTTGCTTAGATTACAGGACTGTACCTCCACACCCAGTTCACTTTTGTTAATGCCTTTGAGAGAGTAGTATATATACTATAAGGAAAACACCCTTTATTTCTGGCCACCAGGCCTTTCTTATTCTGGAGCATGAGGGAAGAAGAACAAGCAGAAAATATACAAAAGAAAGGATTTATTGTAGGGATTTGACGCTATAAAATAGCTTTAGCTTACCTTCACTCAAGAGGAGTCAGGGAAGATTGTGAATTTGATGTCAGCCTGGGATAGTGAGCCTCTGTCTTAAAACAACAGAAACAATTACAGACTGAAAGAGGGTCAGTGGTAATTTCTCAGCACGTGCAAGGCCCTGGGTTCCAGTCTCAGCACCCTGGTCCCCCTCACCCACCAATGTGAGCTGTGCTCTGAGTCTGGTGCTGGAGTTAGACTGAAGTTTGCAAGTCGTAGGGGGTGACGTGAAGTGGGAAGAGGAAGGAGCAACCTAAGCCTTTGAAGCTAAGCTGGAAATCACAACGAAGGGCCGGAACTCCTGTCTGTCTGCCTCTCGGTCTCTAATACTAAGGGGACATTCTGCTAGAGAAACTGGAGCAACGCGCGTCTGGGAGGTAAAAGCACTTGGCTGGGTAGCCAGAGAAAGTGAATCACAGCTCCAGCAGGAGCCCCAGTGCACCCAGCTGCGCCCCACCCCACAGTGTGAGTCAGCAGATAAGCAGCAGCCCTCGAGAGGTGCCTTGTTCCTGCACCAACTTCCTGAGGAATGTTTGCGCCTTCATTTCCCTCTTCCAAATCTTGTGAAAAATATTTCTGGGATCCACTATAGCTCTGAACAATTCAGGGAAGGGAAGTCAAGAACCGAAGTTCCTACTTTAGGTAAGTTGGCATTTTGTGGTCTAACCTTCTGTCAACTTGTCATCCAAACATACCTCTTTTAAAGATGCTTAACTTCCAAAGGAAGACAAAAGGGAAATCCTGCCTCAGACTGACATTACACAACTAGTCTTTCCATATGTGGAAACATACAGCTATGCTGGGAGAATGGGCTTGAACCCTGGCAGGACAGAGAGGCACTCTAAAATCTGGAGAGATGTGTGTGCCCCACCGTTCAGCTATCGTTAACAGGCATGTAGAGTTGGAGCTTGAACTGACCTCCAAAGAAAATATAAAAAATATTTCTGCCCTACACCTACCAAAGGAATGGCCCTAGTTGGGTGTGGTGGTTCATGCTTGCAAACCTAGTACTTCAGGGACTGGAGGACTGCTATGATTCAGGGGCCTGCCTGGGCTACAGAGTCCTAGGCTAGCCTAGGCTATGGTGTGAGACTATTCAAAGACAAAACAAACACAAAAAATAAAGGAATGAATTGAGGGATAAAGAAATTGGCCAGGCCCAGAGCAGGTATGGATCTTCTATCTCCCATCCAATAAAGCCCAGAGACGTTTTCTATTTCAAAAAGGAGAAGAAATCTTTGGAACTGGGGATGCCACTCAGTTGATAGAATGCTTGTTTAGCATTCATGAAGCCCTGGGTTCCAGCACCACACAGACTAGGCACAGCGACACATGCCTATAATCCCAGCACCCAGGAGGTAGAGTAAGGAGGATCAGATGTTCAAGATCACCCTTGGCTATATAGTGAGTTTGAGGCAATCCTGGAATATTTGAGACCCTATCTCAAAAAAGGAGGGTGGCTGGGAAGGCATGCATTTTAAAAATATTTATTATTTTAATTTTATGTGTATGAGTGAACTGCCTGCATGAATGTAAGTGCACCCATGTTGTGCAATGCTGGAGGAGGACAGAAGAGGCCGTCGGATCCCCTGGAACTGGAGTTACAGACAGTTGTTAGCTGCTATGTGGGTGCTGAATTTGAACTCTGGTCTTCTGTAAGAGCAGTCAGTGTTCTTAACCGGTGAGCCATCTCTCCACCCCCCACAGCATGCATTTTTAAGACAGAAGGTCTACCCCATTTTTCTCAGGCCCAGACTTTAATGAAAAACTGAAAGAAAGTAGAGGCAATGCAGGTACCTGAGGTGTGAGCCACCTTTCTTGAGAAAGGATGAGCTGTCATCACAGCTGAATGTGTATGCTTTCTGGCCCTGTCTCACAGGGTTTTATAACCTGTAAAGCTGACATAGGATGGTGGCTAGAAATCAGGTTTCTCTCCTTGGCTTGGCCAAACTGTGAATAAATCCATTTTCCTTTACTAATTTCTGTTTTCTTTTTTCCTTTCTTTAAGGTTTTCAATTTTTTATTACAATTTATTTATGTGTGTGTGTAGTGGGAGGGGATGTGTACACACTACAATGGGCATGTAGAGGTCAGAAACAACTTGTGGGAGTTAATTCACTCCTTTCACTATGTGGCTCCTAAGGATCGAACTCACTGGCCAGGCTTGATGGCAAACACCTTTATTGGCAGTGCCATCTTGTTGGCCCATGCTTCCTATTTTCTCTTGGAATATGTAGAAACTAACACGGTAGGTTATGGACCTGAATCGGGTACCAGTACAAACCCAATAAAAACATAAGATCCTTTTATTTGGCAACTTTCATTCCTCCTCTAGCTGAATCACTTTGTCCCATTGATGTAAAATAATGTAGGTATTGTGCTAGATGTTAACCACTATTAACCCTGCCCGTACTGGGCTGTTTTCTAGTGCAGTCAAAGCTCTGAAGTAACTGAAAACTTGGAAATCTCGGTGCAGGGGCAGGAAGCACACATTTCATTGACCGATCTCTAACAGCAATCATCAGAGAAGCTATTCCCTTTCTATCTCCAGATCCCTTAATCCTGACCAGGGAAGAAACAGAGTGGTATACTTATCTCTATAGATAGGATGCCCTCCATTCCAGAAGTCATCCTAGTCCTACAAGCTGTGACCACTTAGCAGGTACCACATAACTTAGACTTCAAAAGTCCATTCCATTGCTTGTGTAGCCGACCACTTTAGAGTGCCGAAATATGACACAATAGCAAATTCCATGTCAGCTGCCACACATTTCATAGTATATAACATGAGGTTATTTATTTATTTATTTATTATTTATTTATTTTTCTTTTTATGTGTCTGAGTGTTTGTCTGCGTGTAAGTGTACGCATGTTGTGCAATGCGCTCGGAGGTCAGAATAGGGCATCAGATCCCCTAGAACTGGAGTTATAGACAGTTGTCAGCTGCCATGTGGGTGCTGGGATTCAAACCTAGGTCCTTTGCAAGAGCAGTCAGGTCCTCTTAACTGCTGAGCCATCTCTCCAGCCTGAGGTTTTTTTTAGAGAATCTCTGATAATACACCTAGGGCACTGATGGCCTAGAACTTACTATGTAGACCAGGCTGGCCTGGAACTCACAAAAATCTGCCTGCTTTTCCCTCCTGAGTGCTAGGATTAAAGGCATGTGTCACCATGGCTGGCCAGAAATTTCATCTTGAAATTTCATCAAATGTTCTCCATTTGAAAAATTATTTATTATTATTGTGTATATGTTTATATGTGTGGATGAGTGTGCCACATTGCATATGTGTATGTCAGAGGACAACTTCGTGGAGTTGGTTCTCTCCTTCTACCTTTACATGGGTTCTGAGTATCAAACTCAGGTTCCCCAGGCTTGCACAGCAAATGCCTTTACCTCCTGAGCCATCTTGCCAGCCCATCTTTCCCAGTTTATTAACAAACAAAATATGATTGGCTATTACTTTGAATTAAAAATAGTTTTAAAAATTAGTCCTTTTTTTCTTTTCACTATATAACCCTAGCTGGCCCAGAACTTGCCAATGGAC